GAGGGAGGTGCTGTTCGCAGCTCTCTGTTGCTGGAGAGAGCAGGAACAAAAGGTTGGGTGTTACCTTACAGACACTGCTCTCCAGGGAACCAGACTGTGTCCCCCACCAGCCCAGGGGAAAACGGTACCAGCAGCAGTGCCCCGAGCACTGTCCTCAGTTACGAAGACACGACATTGTGGCCACTGTCTTCTATCAACTGCATCATTGTGGCCTTTGTCTTTTCCAAGGGAAAGCCCTTCCGGAAACCCATCTACACCAACTGTGAGTAGAGCTGGAGTAACCTACACTCCACAGACTCCTGTTCCTGCCCAAAAATAACCTTGGCAGGAGAGGCTACTAGGGAAGGGAAGGGAAGATGGGGATATTTCTATACCTGCACCAGTGACTGGCGTGTAAAGTAATAGTTGTACGTGAGATCCTACTTCACTACAAAAAACCTCAGTGAGCACTGCTTATGTTAGCTCCTTCCTTGAGAGCAGATCTGAAAAAGGTGACTGCATCTTGCATCTTGTTTTGGAAAATGTGTGCTTCGCAGAAGATGATGGGCTGGATTTAGTGCAGAACTATGTATTATTGTGAACATAGAGAGCATATGAGAATCAGATGTATTTATTTTGAAATGCACACATCAGAAGGAGTTCCTCTGAGAATCACAGTCTTACCTTGCCTGACTTCCATTCCTAGAGAGACAAAAGCCAGCGATAATATTACTGTTAGAATCCTTTCACAATAACCTTTCTTTTTCTGTTTGAGTTTTGCAGAGAAGATTTAGCCCTTCTAGCCATCAGTTGACTGATAGCTCCTTTGCAATTGAAACTCATGGATGAGAGGGCAGGGCTTTGCTTCATCTTAGCAGAGTTGATTTTGTTATGTATTTTGTTAAATGGCAGGTCCTAAATCCATTTCACAGCACTGATCACCTGAAGAAGACAGGTGAGACCAGAAGGAAGATGTCCTGCAAGCAGCAAGGCTGAGAAGGGACAGAGGAGTCTGTCAGCTGAGAATTCTGCACACACTTCTCTGTGTTTTATCCCTGTTTGGGGACAATCCCCAGAAGGCAGCAAAGGGCAATTACCTTGTTTTTGCCACCCACTCAGTCCTGTCTGCTCTTTCCTCTGGCAGTGAGAAGGTTGCCAGGAGGCCATTGGGAGCTGCTGACACAACTTGCCAGCTAGTTTTAAGATGCTCAGCTCCTGGTAACTGCTGGGAGTTTGACACCCCTGATGTCTGAGCCATTTGCCATTGCTCTGTGGCCTCATGTTCCTTTGGAAGAGGATGCAAAGCCAGACAAACTCTTCCTGCGGAAGGCACGGGTATAGCCCACCTTTGCAACCTGTGGGTCGCAGAAGCACCTGGAGCCCAGGAGAACCAGCAGCTGCCTCTGCTGCCTGCGGCCCAGGCGTACGGCTGAGCACCCTGAAGGGATGCTGGTGAGGCTCACAGCAGTGCCCCTTCGAGGCAGTTTTCTGCGGTTGTATGAGAATCAGAACATGCCAAATCATTTGTGCAAAAAAACCTCAACAGTGTAGGTGGTGAGCTTTGCAACAGGCTGCTGGGGAGTAGCTCCTCTAGTTTCAATTCCACAGCTCTTCTTTTAGGGGCAAACAAAAAGAAAGGCATTTTACATGACGGCAGTTTTACAGCATTAGCATTTGGCGGTCTTGCCAGCATATTTGTAGAGTTGGGTCACCAGTCCCCCTCCTTCCCGGAGACACAAATGCTCTTCTTTCCCTAGATGTATTTTCAGTCCTCCTGGCCCTCCAGCTTGCAGTCTGCCTCTTCCTCTTCTTGGCTGACATCGATGCTGTGTACAGTAGCATGCAGGTAAGTGCAAGCAAAACATGCATTTCTTTTTCACGTTATGTATTTTGCTGCTCCTTTACCTAAGCTATAGAGCAGAAGCTACAGCTATAGTCATCTTGGAAATTAATTTGCTGATCTGATGCTGACTGGGCAGCCCTTTCAAACTTCTCTGACATCCTTCTGACAAGGGCTTGATTAATGAGGTAGTCCTCCTCTCCTCTAAGACTGGGCAGCAGCCAGGAGAAGAAAAAGTTATAGCTTGCTGAGACTTTATTCCTAACAGAAAAGCACAATAGGGTGGATTGTGGCTTTGCACTTCAGAGGAGGCTTTTTGGCTGGAGAAGCGAGTGGGCAGGGACTGCTGCTGCCCCTGCCCAGAGCACCACGAGCTCGTGTGGGGCCAGGCCAGGGCACAGTGCAGGCAGCTGCCTCCAGCTGTGCTGCCCAACGCCGGAATGGCCAAGGCCTGCGGGTCACCCCTGGCTGTCCTGCACCAGGTGGATTTGGGTGGCACACACCGAGGGAGAGGAGCTACGCACTGTGCATTAGCTGCAGCTCCTCAGAAGTATTTGGGCAGCAGATCCTGCCCCAGGCACCTGATCTGCAGGTTTCAGCAGTAACTTAAGCAGCTGAGTTAGGCAGCTCCATGCCATGGGGAATCTGGCATCAAACCTTCCAAGATCTCTGTGACAGGGAATTACTGTCACTTCCTACTGCCTCCTCCATGCTTGCCACTGGAAAAATGTTAGTCAGCTTCTCAAATCATTAAGAACAGATGCAAATCTTGGCAAGGCATTTAAATTTAATTGCTGTTAATGTCTTCCAACAGTTTCTTTGTACTCCTGTGATCTGGAGAGTTTACGTCTTACTGATGCTCTTGGTCACATTTTGTGTATCTTTTTTTACCGAGGTGAGTGCATTTGTTTACCGCCTGTTCCCTGAGGTGAACAGGATCAGCATCTGGTCAGATCTTTCCACCCCCATTTGCAGCCACGCTGTCCTCCTGCAGAAGCATAAACCCTCAGGCTTTTTTTTTTTTTTTTTTTCCTTAAGACTGAATGCGTGTCAGTCAAACCCATTTTATGCGACCTCAGAGATGATTTAGACCACACCTCTTAAGCCTTTAGAGAGGGAGCGAGCTGCAGTGGTGCTGCCCGGGAGGAGCCCGCTGCCCCAGCTCGCAGGGGAGCAGACCACAGCACGGGTCAGGTGCTTGGCAGTGATTTTGAAATGATCACTTCCCTCTTGTCCTACAATCAACCAGGCCAGAGACTGCGCTGGCTTGTGCCAGTGGATATTGCAGTAGTGACTAATCCCTAAAGTGTTTTGTGAATCAAGACCGGCTGTATCCAGCACTGGGTATTGTCCCCTGCAAGGAGCAGCACTTGGGTGTCCCACAGCCCCAGGAGGAAAATTTTGCCCCTTGATTATCCCCTTCAACTAAACAGACTGAGATCAATGCTGTCCTGTTATTACTGAGCAGAGCCTTCCTGTGGGTGAGGAAGGTGGCATTTGGCAGCCGTGTTACCGAAGGGGAGTACGTGCAGCCACCCCATGCCATGGGGCTCAGGGAGGGTTGCACATGGAGTAAGGGATGGATTTTGTCCCCGAGCAGTCCTCCCTTCCAGTGAGGGGCAACAGCACTGACCCTGTGCCACGTCACTCCGCAGGACGTTATCTTGCAGAACAAGCACCTCTGGCTGCTGATTAAAACCTGGTTTGGGTACCAGTCAAACAGCCAGTACCGAAAATGGCAGAGGATGCTGCAGAGGGATCCCAACTGGCCTCCTGTAAATGGAAAAGACTTTGCCACAAAAAGCACGGACGAGATTTACATTAACCCCACCTACGAACACAGTGACAAGGACTAGGCAAGACCCTGCAGCTGGGCATGGGGCTGAGCAGTGCTGGCAACTTCCCTGGCTTGCACTGAACAGCCTGTGTTTTCATCCTTTGATGTGCGCCAGATTCAGATGTTTGAAATCCCTGCACAAACCTATCCATTCAGGGGCAGGCTGGGCCCGTGCTGGCTGTGCCCTGGAGCACAGACAAGGATTATTCTCTCAGCTGCTGGTAAAATATCAGCCTTGACTCTACTCCTTGGCAACAGTAGGTCTTGGGGCCTTGCCAACGTTTCCTATAAAGGCTCAAAAATACTGAATACAGTGAAACAATGGTTTCTGCTGCTTCACATCACACTTTTACTTCATGTTTTGGTCACTGCTCTACCAAATCAATACAACCACCAGGCTTGATGGGAAGACAATCCAAAATAAAGGACCTAACCTTGACCGCACAGAGGAGCACATGCACAATTGCAAAATCCTGCGTTTAGTGAAATGCTGCAGCTTCCAAGAACTACAAGAAAGTTCCCAGATGAAGTAATTACAGTTTTCTTGCATCCCAGAGTGACTTACAGATGTGAGAGGGCGCACACACTGTCCTCACTCAGCTCTCCCTTGCCAGTTCTTGCAGGAAAGGTTAAAGATCACGGGTTGCTGTAAGAGCAGGCTGGGAAGGCTGGTGAGGATATGCCCCACTTAAGCTTGCAAAGGCAGAGGACAGCACAGCTGCTGCACACATGTACACAACCCCCCCAGTTCGTGCTCTGCCACTGCCAGGTCCTGGCCTGGCTTTGGTGTCACGTGGCAGAAAGCAGAGTTAAGCCTTGGCTTTTTGCTTTAACTAGGCCATATCAAGAAGCACGGGGTTTAATGTGCAGCTGATAGACAGTGACAAGAAGCTGAACCCCTCTGTACTTTCTCTTTCGTCTTCAAATTATTCAACAACCAGCTCAAGTTATCCATGAGAGAATTGATTACACTTACGGGAAGCAAAAAAGGACTTTCAGTTTTAGTTTTAATGTAATATTTTTTTCCATATTAAAAAATAACTTCATTTAAATGTAATAACAGAGGGCACTACAAAATAGACCAGAAGTCTTGGCTTTGTTATTTCAAACATTGAAACAACTGATGTTTAAAAAAAGTTTCTGACCCTGTTATGTACATGTTAAGAGCAGACAAAAATAACAAGCCTTTTACAGACAGCTCTTTCACTCTTATCTCTTCCTACAGTCCAGGCACTTGCCTGGGGCAAAAACACCACAGGATTTCATTTCTTACATATGGTCTGCAAATAACATGGTTCCAAACACATAAGCCAGATACTCCTGGTAAAGAGTAATAAAACACACTTTTCCAAAACAGCTTTATTCTAAGACAAGCCATGCATCAGCCTTACGACAAGGAAATAGGAGAGTTCTGTGGATTTGTAGCTGGAGTATAGGTGTAACATAGCTCATTCTCCAGCTATGTCACCCACAACACTCTGCAGGGACCCCAGCTTTGCCTTCCTGCTGGCTGGAGAAAGTTCAAACTTGTGCTGGGGTTACAAACTGCTTAAATTCAACTTCTGGTCATTGAAGAGCCAATGGCCCCAGCTCCAGGGGGCAAAGATGATAAAAGCTGATAAAAACAGGATGTGTGTAGAAAGCACCAATCTTCACCAGAGCACTGGGGGTGTGAGGATGGAGAATTTTCTTGCCAGCACTCCCAGACTACCACAAAAACCATCACAGGCAGTGAAATAAAAGCAGATTTAGCAAACAGGCTAGTGCTGCTCTCAACAAGGGCAACACTATTGTTAGTAAGTCTTGGTGGCAGCTGCAGCCACAAACTGCCCCAGGTCGCTCCCTGACCTGCTCCGAGCTCTTCCCGTCGGCCCATCAGTATTCCCTCTTCCTGGATCTGCTGTGGAGCAAGCCCAGCAAGGAGAAGGCACCAGCAGCAAGTGTTACAAGCCCAATGGCACAGATTGCTGTCTTGGACTGCAAAGTGGAAGTAAAACACAGGCTGAAAACATGATGAGTTTTTTTTTTTTTTTTTTTTTTTTTTACCACCAGGCATGCTAGTGAAGTGCAGGCAAGGATAATCAAGGCAATTAAATAAGCAGAATGAGAGACACCTGCCCCATAAGCAGAATGAGAGACACCTGCCCCATAAGCAGAATGAGAGACACCTGCCCCATAAGCAGAATGAGAGACACCTGCCCCATAAGCAGAATGAGAGACACCTGCCCCATAAGCAGAATGAGACACCTGCCCCATAAGCAGAATGAGAGACACCTGCCCCATAAGCAGAATGAGAGACACCTGCCCCATAAGCAGAATGAGAGACACCTGCCCCATAAGCAGAATGAGAGACACCTGCCCCATAAGCAGAATGAGAGACACCTGCCCCATAAGCAGAATGAGAGACACCTGCCCCATAAGCAGAATGAGAGACACCTGCCCCATAAGCAGAATGAGAGACACCTGCCCCATAAGCAGAATGAGAGACACCCAGGCTTTTACCCTTAGGCTGTGGCATTCAGTAAGAGGGCACCACCAGAGTGCAGACAGACAATAGTGAACCTCCTGGCCCAGGGTCCTGGGTGAGGCCAGAGGCAGCCATGGTTTGGGCCCCACGCCTGGGGCTTTGCTGTCCTCATGCACTTTGCAGGCTGTGCCCTGGTCTCGGGGCTCACGCAGAGCAGCAAGGAGGTGTGCTGTGAGGGGTGCGGGGGCTTACCCCGTGTTACTTACCTGGCCGGAGACCGCCTCACCGTAGCGAAGCCACGTCACGAAGTGCTCACAGTTGTTGCCGAGCAGGTCATAGGGCACCTCCTGGTCAATAAGGTGCCTGGCACGCCGGATGATCTCTTTCACCGGGAGGGGATTGTAGGTGTTGTCGTACTTATTGTTGATGCAGTAGGTGTCATTGCCTACCGCATCCTTCAGGAGCTGCATCCTCACCCGGGCCTTTCTGCTCAACACTGACTTGGCGCTGGAGGAGGCTGGGGACCCTTCATCTGGGGAAGGCAGGGACAGGATGAGCCAGGCAGGACTTGTCTGGCCGCTCCAAGACCTCAGAAGGGTTTCTGACTGGCTCCTGGAAAGGCCATATATATACCCAGGGTCCACCACCAGCCCTTGGAGGGAGAGAGGGCGCCTTGGTCACCCCAAAGTCCCCTCTGCACCCTGGCGGGCTGTGTCAGCCTTACCCACGGGTGTCACGTTGATGATGTACCCGTCCCCCAGGTAGAGGGCCCAGTGCTGGTAAGCTGGACGGAAGATCTCGATCAGGTCCCCAGGCCTGGGGTCACGGTGGTAGGTGGCACTGAAGCTCTCCAAAGCTGCCATCTCAAGAGCGTGAGGTCAGGACCTGCCCCTCTTGCTGGGCAGGCTCAGTGCAAGGCAGAGGGGAGACCCGGGATGTGCACAGGGCACGTGCTGGGGGGCTGCAGGCAGGGAGGTCATCAGGGCTTGGCACTGGCAGGCTTACACCGCACGTGGAGCGGCACCCAGCTGCTGCTGCTGCTGCTGCCGTCCCCCCTCCCCGCAGGGCCCTGGTTAGGGGCAGCCGGGCCCCGCGCTGATGCAGGGTAAGAAACGAAATAACGAAATCGTTCGTCCGTCGCCGTCCCCCCCCCACTCCCCCCCCCCCCCCCCGCCAAGCGCTGCAGGCGAAGGGTGAAGCCGTTACCGGCCGGCAGCCAGCTCGCAGCCCCTGTCCCGGCAACTCGGTCTGAGCTGCTTCCACCCGCCCCCGCAAGACCCTGCCGGTCCCCTCCCGGTCGTGCTCCTTTCGGGGCTCTGCTCACGCCGGTACCGGGCCAGCTCCGGTGAAAGGTCGCAGCTGGGCGGGGGCGGGGAGGACACACACCCGGGATGCCGAGCCCGGCCCTAGGCTCTGGGGCACCCCCGGGAGCTCGGCCGGGCCGCGCCCGCCGCCGGCACCCCTGCAGCGCAGCACCCGGCACCCCGGGGGGGGGGGGGGGGGGGGCACATCCTACTGGCAGACGCCTGCTCGCACCCTCAGAGCTTCCCCCCCCCCCCCCCGAGCGCCCCGCTCACCCCCAGCGCCTGTGCTGCTGCGACTGTGGCCGGGCTGCTGCCCTGGGAGGGAGGTGGTGGCACAAACCGGGCCGGGTCTTGGCTCCTCCCGCAGCTAAAAATAGGGAGGAGCCGGGCGGGTCCCGGACAAGCGGTGCCCTCCCGGCAGCCGCTCCGCTCCGGAGGGTGTCGCCAAAGCCGCCCGCGGGTGGAAAAGTTGGTCCCGCCCGCGGGTGGAAAAGTTGGTCCCGCCCGCGGGGAAGAGGGGCGGCCGCCGCTTGCTCGGCCGCGGGGCCTGTGTCCTGCGGGGCCCGTGTCCTGCGGGGCCCGTGTCCTGCGGGGCCCGGGGCCCGTGTCCTGCGGGGCCGGTGTCCTGCGGGGCCCGGGGCCCGTGTCCTGCGGGGCCCGTGTCCTGCGGGGCCCGTGTCCTGCGGGGCCCGGGGCCCGTGTCCTGCGGGGCCCGTGTCCTGCGGGGCCCGGGGCCCGTGTCCTGCGGGGCCCGTGTCCTGCGGGGCCCGTGTCCTGTGGGGCCCGGGGCCCGTGTCCTGCGGGGCCCGTGTCCTGCGGGGCCCGTGTCCTGCGGGGCCCGGGGCCGGTGAGCGCGTCTGGCCAGGAAACCTCCCGCGAGGGAGAGGGAATGCTGCCTGTTCGTTTCTCTGAGGGTGAAGAGGTGGAGCTCCGAGTAAACCGCAGTGGCCGGTTTAAGGCTAGGAGATTTTTAGGGTAGCTTTGCATGCCGTGGCCCGGGAACTGCCTTCAGGACATCAGGGGACTCTCGTGATTGTGCCCAGCAAGAGTCCCCTGAGCCAAAGGGGTGAGCACAGCAGAGCAGGTACATCTCTCCCCTCGGCTACTGCCGGCACAGTATGCTAAAAGGGAGGGCTCACTAACAGCAAAACTGTCCTCTGGGTGAGCTGAACTGAGCAGTGTACTTATAGCCCAGTGTTTCAAAAGTTAAGGTGATCGAGCCAGTTGATTTAAAAGAGCAGAGCGGCAGCAGATTTGTCATCCTTCTGGCTTCCATTGACATGAAATAGTTAATTCAGCGGAACACTGAATAGCAATCCTGCTTTCTGTATCACCCCCTGTTGGAGAATGGCTCAGAGACAAGGGTCCTGAGCCCACCGAGCAATTGTATGATCAGAGCCTGCTCTAGCTGCTGATGCTGAGCCTCACTAGGGTTTGCCTGCAGCTGCTGGCAGCTGCTGATACATGAGGAATGTCAAGGACGCTTCAGCCCTGTGTACCGTGGTGTGTCGAAAACAGGTTAAGGGGAATTAGGAATAGTGGTCTGAGAAACCCAGTGTTATGATAACGGTGGTCTGAGAAACATTGTGTTACGGTACTGTTGTGTATCGAAAACAAGTCAACAGGAATCAGAAATAGTAGCATGAGAAACTTAGTGTTATGAGAAGCTTGTGCTGTAAGCTAACTGCAAGTAGGTGGCCCGTGCGAATACGACCTTTAGAGCTTAAGCCAATCAGCTAGTGACTAGTAGGCATAATTAGTAGAAGGATTATAAAAGGCTGTAATGAAAATCAATAAATGGAAGCATGCTTTATCACTCATACTGAGTCGGCTGCGTTCTTCCTCCTTGGCCTGAGTCCTCGGCTCGCCCAGCCCGGCAACCCCCTTTCAAGTTTGAAGTATTTGCAAAGCTTTGCAGTGGAAAGCCAAAGCAATTCTTGTGATATTGAAAAAAAAAAAAAAGAAAAGAAAAAAAAAATGTATCCCTGGAAACCCAGAAATCTGCTTTACCTGGGCACAGCTGGGCCCTGGAGAGCCTGGGCTGGGATCCTGCAGGGTAGGGACCGGCCTCTGCTCCCACCGAGTGCAGGGGGCGGCGAGCGTGGTCGGCAACGCTCTACAGTCACAGAATCGCGCTGTTAGCAAGCGTGAGAGTGAAATAGGAAGCCGCCGCTGAGCAGGCAGGAGAGATGCTTTTATAATTGCAGTGAAATTCTAGCATAAGGTTGACAGTTCATTTGCGCATGAGTAGGTCTCTCGTGCTGATTCATTTTCATTACGTAATGAGGCTGAAATCCCCTTTCCATTCACATCCTCCCCAGAACAGCTGTGCTGTGCATGTATGAACAGTTGGCATGTTTTTGAATGGACCAGAATAAAATACCTTTTATCTACTTAACTGTTCATGGAGGTTACGAATACTTTTCTGGATAACAGCACACGTGAGTTTATGAATGCAAGTGAAAGGAGAAAGGGTAAGTAAATAATAATAATAAGCATTATGGCTGAAACAGCAGGGAGCCCACACTGTTCCTCACTGGAATCAGAAGTGAACCTGCAAAGAACTGGAAAAGCATTAGAGAAACTTTAATGGTGCATTCCTTACATCTCAAAGCTTCACTCGGGGCACTGGAAATTCGTTCAGGGCTTGGACAGGGCCCAGGCAGTGCCTCAGTCCCCTGAGCCTTGTGACGGTCTGTCTGGGGGGTCTCTTGTTTGTGGCAGGGCCTGACAACATGCAGCACACACCTTTGGCTGCCTGCTGTAGGGGGGTCCTCGGCGCGGTCTGGGACCGAGCCTGTGCAGATCTCTACCCACACTCATCTGAGTGTGGCAGCTTCAGAATTTGCAAAGGCTCCAAGGAGAGTTTATGACAGGATCTCATTCTTCAGAAAGCTTTTGTGAAGTTAGGCTCTTGCTTAGCCCCCACAGGCAGGGGGCTGATGACGCCCCTACTTCTTGTCCACTCCACCCTGACGGCAAGGAGGCAGCTCTCCTTCAGACAGTCACCTCTTTCAGTCCAGCACTCCCAAGGGGGACAATAGGGATCATCCTTTTTACTACACCTGTCACCAGATGAGCTCAGTGTCTTACATATTTCTCTCCCTGCTTGGACATGCATGCCAGAAGAGGAGTAAAAACTGTGTCCAGCTCAGCCAGCTAATCCCCTCCCCATGGAAGGATTAGGGTAGGTTGATCTCATGAAGACCTGCCTGGGGATACTAGAATTAATTCTAACTGCATCAGTCTACGATTTGTACATCTATCAGAGGGGGGGGTGTGAAGGTGTGACACACACTTGTTCTGGAAAATCCTGTCTGGACTTTGTGTCTTTCAAACAGCTTCTGAAGACAACACAGGCTCTTGTGTGAGTTAGGATATATTTCGATTTGGGTGTACAACATGAAATCCAAGAGATAGTTTAAATGAACAATTTCAAAGGTTTTCAGCAATTGCAATGATTTATTTATTATTATTTCTTCTCAAAGTATTAGAAGTACTATTAAAATATAAGAGCAGAAAGTAATGCAAATAAATTGGAAAAATATTGCTAACTATGTGTATGTATTTCGGGATTCATTGTGATCAAATGCAGTGTTCACGATGCAGCCATAGTCTTGCTCACGTACTCTGCTATCCAATACATCCCTGGACCATTTCAAAGAAGACTCCCTTGATTTCGCAGCTGTGTTCACCTTTCTCTTCCTTCTGTACAATGAAAAAAATAAAAAGAACAACCATTTTTAATTTCTATTCTTAGCTGTATCGAGAGGTCAAATAATGGTGTGAGCAAGAATGAAGTCAGATTTTGGAGAAACCCAAGTTTTGTGATAGTGATGCATATACCCTGTGTAAAGGAAATGACATATGTTCGTTTGTCTAGAAAAAGCTAAGTTTTCCCTCACATTCCTCAACTGAGATCTTGAACACAGTGGTTCTTTTCTGGTCCTGCAGGTATGTGACTAATGGGAGTTTTGAGGTTTACAGGTGCTAAAAGGGGTGTATGTGTCTTGACTGTGCTGAATGTAGCAAAGCTGGGAAAAGCCTTACCTGCACAGGCACACTGTAGAGGAGACGAGAATAACGATAACAACTACGCCTGCCACAACTCCAACAATGATCACAACTGTATGGTCCTCAGGATCCTCTGTCAGAGGGTCTTCAGCTGAAGAAGAAATTAGAGGCCTGTCAGTGAAAGCTAACCATACTGTGACCACAATTTTTTTCATAGCCCTTGCCTGTCTGCTTGATTTACAATGTGTTCTCTGATGGTTGTGGCTTTCTGGTGTGGTGTCAGACTCAGGTCCTGTATGCTCTATAGAGCCCTGCTGTCATGGGGGACCTGACCCTTCTTTCTGCTTGGATGACTACAGGCTCTCACCCTCTGGGTTACTAATTTACAGCATGGAAATGAAGAGCAAGTTCAGTCTTCTCCATAATGACACCCATTTTTGAAAGTGGTGTGCATAATGCAGACAGAAAAATCCAAAATAGTTTTATTACCTATCTTTTCAGCCTCACATGTCGGTCCTGTATAGAGTTCTGAACATTCACAGGAGAAGCGGAGAGAGGTGCTGTTGGTAGTTTCAGAGCAAATTCCATCATTCTTACAAGGATTTGGCATACACGGTCCACCTAGCAAAAAGGGAGGGGAAACACTTCAGACTCTCAGATAATCCAACCCTGAGAGAACTGTTCTTGCTTAGATTACACTGACTCCTAATGTTGAACATGCCCTCTATTTTAAGGCACCTTACTCATTTTTGACAACAGGGATAAGGGAAAGAAAGGGTTTCTACAATGAAACATCAGATCAAGATCCCCAGTATGTTCTTCTTCTGTACGCACTCTGTTGCAACTATCCCCAACCCAGTGATGTTCTATCAGCAGGAAGTCAAGACTTAGTATCAAAGACAGTGTAGTTAACTCACTCCTGTAGCATCCTCGACTGTAGTTTGAAATGCCACAGATTTCATCAGATCCACACACTATGTTAGAGCAGGAGACAGTGGAGCTTTCTGTGCACTGGCATCTCTGAGAGCAGTCATCAGTGGTAAATATTTCTCCAATCTGGAAGATAGCAGTTAAATGTTGAAAAATATCAAACAAAATCAGCCAGAAAGCCCATGAATGGAGCACTGGGATTCCATGCTACTCTCTCCCATGCCTTCCTGATGAACGGTAACAGGGCAGCTATTCATTTTTTTTTTTCAGTAGTTTGTACAAAAAGGAAAGTAAGCAGCTTACAGATCCAGCTCTTTAAAATTCAAGGATGGCCCAAGAAAGCAAGCAGAAGAAGAGTTTGGGATATGAGCACCAGATGGGGTACACATGCAACCAACAATGTCAAACTCTTTCTGGAGATAAGAGTGAGTGGCAGATGCATCCCATCATGTCTCCAAGGCAATGTGGAAATGCTCTGTGCCATTCTTCTGGCAAGTGCCACCTGTTCATACTAAGTGTGTCCTTCCTCCCATAAAACAAACTTTACTGGCTTAGGCTTTTTCTGTACCAAATCTCTAGTATTAAAACAGAAATCTATGAGATTATGAAGCTGTTCTATCCTGTAGTGACAAT